TATATAAGTTCCACAAGCAGTAAAACTGCTATCAGTCCATTAAATACAGCATGTGACCGTGGGGAAAAGTCATACATTCCTCCTCACATCCCTCTCCTCCCACCAAAAATAAGGGAGAATCCTATGTTCAGGTATCCCAGACAACCTACTTATAGAAATTTTGCCTTTGGAGAACCTATGCCATCTCCTTTCTTCATCCAACCATTTTTTTGCGTTTTCCCAGTGGAATGCAATCAACAAATACAGGCTTTCAGCATACTTTAAAGGGCAGCTACAAAGAGGATAGAGATTCTCTCTTCACAAGGAGCCACATGGAGAAGGCGAAGGGCAAAAATATTTCATACATGAGACGTTTCAGCTCAGTATAAGAGAGAATGTTTTTACTGTAAGAACAGTTATTCACTGAACAATTGCCTCAGGGACATGGCAGAGTCCCCAGCACCGGAGGTTTTCAAGATGCAAATGAACAAAATGTTTGATAATCTCATCTAGGCTTCATTTTCCATGAAAGATTGGACCAAATGATCTTTTGAGGTCCCTTTCAAACTGGGCTGTTACATGCTTTTGTGATATTCGTTCCTTCAGCTCTCCAGAGATTAACTGATATCAGCAGCCTCATAAACAAAGTTTCCTGACTGCTGTTCATGCAAGGAGAGCTTTGACCTGAAAGGCCTAATTTAAACAGCACAGTTTGACTTCTCTTTCGGTTGCTGCCACTTGTCTGTACAACATTTCCAATACACAATACCATTGAGGGAATGGAAAAGATATATAAATTACTCTGTGGGGATTATACTATTGTCCAGGACAGATGCACAGGGAATTTAACCTCAGAAAATCTATATATAGGCAAAGGTTTCTCTATGTCACTTCCCAACCTTTGGCATATGAAAGAGGGAGAAAAAAAGGATATTTCCATATCACCACTGACCTTGTCCTGCACTGGACAATAGAAATTTTTATTTTAAATGGGCTGTGAGGCATATGCTGCTAAGAATTATTTTTAGCCAAAGACAGTACAAATGTATGTATTTATTTAAAGTTACATTAAAAGAACATTTAAAGCACTCAAAAATTTCAATATTGTTATCTTTATTTTTTTTATTCATTTCCTTAGTCTGTATAATTTGCAAAAAATTGTTCATAACCGATTTAGGAATTCTTTATTTTTCTAGGACACTGGTTCATTTTAACAGAATGAAGAATGCTCACATTGTTTCAGATGCTGTTCTTCCTTATGAAGAGCTTTTTTTCCCCTTGTCTAAGCTCTACCCTGAAATGAAAAATTTTAATTTCTTGAGTTTCAGTTGTTAATGTATCTAGATGCATTGATAGAGAGAATAACTCCCTGAGATAAACTGTCTCTTTGCTCAGCATTTCTGCAAATCATACTTTCACATCACAAACCATACAATGAAGAACATAACTGAGATCCTTTTGATGAGGAATGTGGATATTCACAAACTTCTTGTGGGATCTCACAGTTCACCAGGGTTACTGAGTTACAGGCAGGGGCAGAATTCCCTGAGATGCCATTTCACTGTACTGTTTTCACTGCTTGTGAAACACTGCATGTCCTATCTTACTTAGGACAAATATAAGCTGGCTAGAAATTTTTTGTCAGTATCATTTCCTGATAGAAAAGGCAGTTGAAAAAGTGTTTAAAAATTTCTGTCTGCTTAAGACAAATTAGAATATTTTTGAACTGGTGTCTGTCACTTTCCTTCCAGATAAAAATGTAGCTGATTTTTGCAAACAATTCATTGTAGTATGTAGTATTGTAGTTTGGTTGTCTGTCCTCCCAGATCAGTCAGGGTACCTAGAAGTAAACATTACACAATTCAGTGTTGGTTTTACTCTAATGTGCTTGGATTATATGAGGGGAATACAGTCATTTGGGTGGACCCAAAGATAAAAAATCAGGCAGCCATCAAGATCCAACCATATTCCAAATCCATGTTTTTGCATTGAAGTTTACTAAAAATGAAATGAAGTGAAGAAAGCTAATTAAAGCAAACTGAATTTTGTGGCAGTTCTCATTTGGAAATTTCAAAACATGTATTTTTTGCTTTTTCCCTGTCTAAATTTCCCATAATTTCTAGATCAATTGTTTTGTATTTTATGCATATATATCTTTATACATATATTCTTGTATATATATGTACATACACAAGAGTATATGTATGAAAAAGTTAGCTTTCATTATGATTTCATCCAAAATAATAAATGGATAAATTGTTCAAGATTAAAAATGCCTTTTCTATTTAGGTCTTCTATGTATGAATCTGTTTAAAAATGTAGCGAATCCTGCAAACATTTCCCTAGTATCCTTTCAAATACAAAAAAATTGTCAACATCATTTCATTTCTTACATGAAACGAAGCAGGTGTCTTCTGCAATCAAAAGACCAATCATGAAAAGAAAGGACAAATAGTTTCACAGTTCATATTAATTGTGACAATTCTTACCTTACAGAGCTACTTCATTCTGCTGCCCGTATCTAATTCACAGAATCACAGAATTAGTTACGTTGAAAGAGACCATAATGGGTCATCTGGTCTCCATGAATGTTAACAAGATAGGATGAATTGGTAATCATTTTGTTTCATTAAAGTTGCCTCTGGAGTCTAAATGTTGCCAAGTTCTTTGCTGATGTCTGGCAAAGCTTGTAAGTTCCTGGGAATTTCCTGAGGCAACTTTGAAGTTGCAGAATGACTGTGAACTAGAAATGAAAGAAATATCTGTGCATTATAATAACTGTGCCTTACCTGCTTACACTGCTTATGTCTTCTTTGCATTCTTCTAACAATTTTGTGTTCTACACAATTTGACACGAAAGCAAATCAAAATGTCTTCGTATGTGGGTATTCTTTAATTGACATATTGCACACACATGCACACACAGACACACACTACACACAGTCACACGAGGTTATTCCAGACTGCTGGAGTCTATTAGTCTACCACATAAAATATTTTCTCTTGCAGCTTGTGGACTATTACAGGGTTGGTTGTTTCAGTCTTTCAGGATGAATGAGAGAGGTGAGGGTTTTTGGCAGACAATGTCTGGTATGGGGCAGAAATCCAAACCTTACACAACAGTAAAATTATGAGACAGGTTACTTCTGAAACCAAAGAAGAATATGTGTTTGAGAATTATTCAAAGCTTTGGCTCTGTTGTGATCCTTTACACTGTGTTTCCCACAGCCTGGCTTTTTCTGCCCAATCTTTACTTCCATCCTTGTTTTTACTCTTCAGGCTTCTTATTTCACTCTGAAACACTTCCCAAACTTAGCATTTCGTCTGCCAACTACTCATTTGATCTTAGTTTTCATTTACCTAGTAGCAGCCAGAAATTGCCCTTGACCAGCCACCAGCTGATTCCAGTCTCTTCTGTTCCAGTCTTCTCTGAATTTTGCGTGTACTGATCCAGCTGATACATTTTGCCTTTGTCCATTGCCAAATTCCTTTCATTCATATGAACCTATGTACATAAATCTACCTTCTTGCTCTTCACAGGCCTTGCTCTTCTGCCTTCCATACTTAAATGAGGTTTCTCTGTTTCTTGGGCCCAGACGATCAAATGTTGAAAGAACGGGAAAAAAGTTTCCTTGTTTTCATGCAGTGCAGACTCAGTTCTGCTAACTGTAAGCTCAGCTGGACCTTCTGTTCTTGTTAGTTCTGCTAACTGTAAGCTCAGCTGGACCTAAGGCTTAAATGGTAGAATATGAATTACAATTTGATTATCATGAACACAGTAAATATCCTATTTTTGTTATAAAGGATGCATCTGCTGTGCAGTTTTTAAGTCTGAAGCCTTTGTGGACTTTTAGATTTTTTGGGGGAACAAAATCAGGAAAAAAAAAAAGACATCATTAATTTTATTCAGCATAGGCAAAGCAAAGAATGTGCTTTATTTCAGAGGTTGAAGATCTTGGTTTTCTTGTTTTTTTTCTTGGTTTTTTTTCAGAAAAACTTAGTTTTTATCAGACATATTTTGGAATGTCGGTTTTTTTTCAGAAAAACTTGGTTTTTATCAGACATATTTTGGAATGTCTCCTTGCAAAGCTTTGCCAGAGATCCTACATGGAGTATCTGAGTAACTGTCCTACTTATTACAGCTGGGTCTGTCAGATTCTGTATACTAACCCCGATAACTTCCCTTGGCTATAAAATGCTCAGGTAGTATTTTTCTTTTTCCTAAGATGGCTTCGAAATGGAACTGAAATCGACATTGAAAGTGATTATCGCTTCAGTTTAATAGAAGGAAGTTTGATCATCAACAACCCCAGTGAAACAAAGGATTCTGGACAGTATCAGTGTTTAACTACCAACACGTTTGGCAGCATTTTAAGCAGAGAGGCTGTTCTTCAGTTTGCATGTGAGTAGCTTTTTTTATGACATTGATGAATCAGATATTTGTGTTACTTGATAAGGCTCTAAACTGTGATATGAATACATTATACAAGTTATACTCTCCACTGACTGTTGGGCTAGGATCTCAAAATTAGAAATAAAATTATTAGTGGAAAAGAGTGATTTTTTGTGGACTCTTTACTTTTAAAATAGGACCAAATCTCAGGGAAAATAACTCTAGTACACGATCCCAAATTGTATACTTTAATGGCATACTTGAATACTCCACTGTGATATATCATTTTGCCACACTATCTGAGCAGGAGAAAAGGACTGTAAACTTGGGAACAGAATGGGATAAAGTGCCTATATATCTGTTGGATAGTCTGCACCTCTAAATATGTGTGTGAGCACAGCTTTTTATGTATATATATAAAAATATATGTGGTTTATGTCTGTGTGCGTAAATATAATGTATACTTTCATACATTATGCAACTGAGATTTTTTTTTGTAGTGGTTAATGGAAACTGAAAATGTCTTAGCTTTTGAAATCATTCACTACAATATACATTTCAGAAGGTATAAACAATTCATATTCTCAAGCAAATCTATCGTCTGTCTATAGCATGCTCATTTTTCAAACATAATATCAGGGAAAGCAGGACCAGAATTTCCCTCTAACCCTAATTTCCCTTCAGCACTTTACAGGAAGGCAACAAACATCATTTGAGTGCTTTGTTTAGATAAATCCTGCCATGAGTGGTTTTTTAAGATGCAGGGATGCAAAAAGAACTCCATCCTAATTTCTCAGATCCTGCT